CCTTTGACCCTTAACCCAACTTCTTACGCAACCATAGAACCCTTCGCGAATGTTCCAGAAAGTTCTAGAACATTCTGGAAACTTATAGAAGTACACAACATTTTCGAACGTTCTAGAAAATTCTAGAATTCTTAATCTTTCAATTTTGACCCGGCACAGAGAAACACACACTGAACATTATATATAGATTTTAATACTACAGGAATTGCGCTCGTAGGTTTTATTTTTTAATTAAAGATATTTTTACGTGAAAAATATTTAGATTGAACGTATTTTACCGATTGCTGGTGAATCACAAAAACAAGAATTTTCATATGTGTTATCAAAACAAATTTATCATAGTGTATCAGAAGGTCATCTTTGGTTTTCAATATTTTCTCGACCACCATCAAATAGATTTACACGTGTTCAGCGATGTACTTGTTGTTTTGTGTTACTTTTTACTGCTATGTTTCTTAATATTCTTTATTATGATCAAGCAAATGAAGCAAAAACAACTAAGACTACTGAAAGTCTATCATTTGGTCCACTTTATATAACTCCTCAACAGGTTTTATTTAATTTTTTTTCAAATTAAGTAAACATTTTTTTGATATAACTAGATTGGTATTGGTGTTATTGTTGAATTACTTTCATTGGTACCAACTTTGTTACTCATTCAATTATTTCGACGAACATTATCTCGACGATCGTCTCAACAAACTTCACCATTACGTGAAGCATTGTACAAATTAAAACACGAATCAATGCCGTTAGTTGACTTTTTATTTTTGAGCCTATACTTATTCTATTTATATGTATGTTTAGTATTGAGTCAAATAGAAAGAAACAATCAAAATGTATTTTTCCTTGGTGGTTTTTGTTTATTATTTATGGTTTATCATTTCTTTTGGCTATAATTTCAACATTTTTTATTATTGTTCGTGGCATTGAATTTGGTGATTTGAAAACACAAAAATGGTTAACATCACTTATTAGTGGTTTCTTTTCATCAATTCTTTTGATTCAACCATTAAAAGTAATTCTTTTTGTTATATAATGAGATGATTGAAACTATGTATAGCTGTCGTTTGTAGATTATTAGTTTGGCAATTATCTTTGCTTTTTTCATTCGAAACACAAATAATGACCAACAAGCAGCTGAATTTTTAGACGATGATAATCTTGAATTAAGTCAAAATGATGAATATCTTCATTCATTTGAGGTTTACTTTTCTTTTTTATTTGTTAACTTATTGTTCAAATCTCGATAGGCAAAGTCATACAAAGTAAAAATGCGTAATTTAGAGTAGCAAGTATTAAAAGATGTTCTATTATTCTATTTATCCGTTTATATACTTTATGTAGACTATTTTTGAATACTGGCATGTTTGCTTTTGTGAATGCAATGCCTTCAAAACGTACATTTTATCCAAGTTGCCTCCTCTTGCTCTAAGCATCATCCATAAGACAAGAGTTATCTTCACTCATTTGTCTCTCATTAATCTTTCTATGAACATAATTTCCTTTTGCTTCTCTTAGTATCCCTAATGACTTAACCATATTGCTAATATGTCACAACTTGCTTCGAATAAATATTTAATTGAAATAAAAAAAAATCTCATTGGGCTCCTAAGATAAATATCTCTATTGTTTGAGACCCAAGTAAAAAACAAATAGGGCTGATTCCGGCGAGAACTAGAAAAACCCGACCACCGAAACCAATCGTGGGATTCCAGCATCCAAATTTCTATCAGTTTTCTGAGTTTTACGGCAGGAAAGTCTCAGCGTTTTATTTCTTTTTACTCACTGATCCGCAAAAAATTGCGCAACGCTTCAAATTCAGTTAACTTTAGCAAAAATCTTCTGATCGATCACCTGAGACAACGACCTTCCACCAATTCTGGCTGTCTAATTCATATCTATTTTAACAAGTTACTTTTTTCGGCTTGCTAAGGTCTGACTCGAAGTGTTCCTGAAGCCTAGGTCATATGTAAACAAGTGGCTTGAAGACTTATTGATATTTTTGATTTTGCAAATTTATTTTTACTCTATCACTTAATATTAATTTTTTATTCGTATTAACATCAGTTACTTAAAATAGTTTTTCATCTCAATCGAACAAAAATATTGATTTTTTTAAAATTTCATTGCAATAAATCAATTGTAGTTATTATCTTCCCTTATGTATTCATTCGCTTTTTATTCTAACATACTGTCCATTAGTTATATTTGACTAAAGTTGCTGGAGAAAATCATCAATATGTGATGCCAACTTATGTTTAGTTTTTACTACGATGAAAATTAATATTTTATAATATAGAAGTCAGTCTAAACCAACAAAATCGACATTTTTAAGTCGTCGCATTTCTCTAGTCCAATAAAACGATGAAAATAATAGAAGAAACGATGATCATTTGTTAGCACAAAAGAAAAGCTCATAAAATTGTATGCTGGATTAAGGCAAAATAATTCTAATCTAATTATTTGAATAATATTAGATGGTGCAAACCAGACAGATCGACAGAGCACTTTTCTTCATCTTCCTCTGCTTTGTAGTACAGGAGCGGAATGTTCAACAGGACAAAGAGAATATTATAAATCGTAGCATCTATATGTAAGTTCAAGTGCTAATATTTATTTGTCTAAATAATAAAACAAAAGACATGATTATCAACAAATAAGAATAAATCACGAATGAGAGAACAAATTAGCAAAGATCAAATGTGGGTTTTCATTATTTTATGATTGCATCTTCATTGGTTTCACGAAAAAAAAATGTTCTTCACTTCCTCTAGTTTTAACTTTTCTGAATTTTAAGCTTTGTAAAGATTTTTATCATCGTACTTCGTTTTTTTTTTTTTCTTGAATATATTTTTAAAAAGTTAATTCTTTAGAAACAATCTCCTTTTACTCATCGTACACAAATTCATGTTAATCGTCTAGACGAAAATGAATTAGTTGGAGCACGTGATCGACGTGTAAAAGAATTACATATGTGGTCAATTATTCGAGAACTTTTAACTTATTTATGTTTTTTAATGATAATTTATCTTACTACTTATTCAAATATAAATCCAAATGCATTTCTTCAAGTAAAACAGTTACGAAATTTCTTTTTAAATACAAAACAAATCGATAGAGATTATACAAAAGTAAAAATTTTTTTTTTTTTTTATCTATATGATATTATGTTAAAACGAATAGATTTTAACGATTGATCAATATTGGAATTGGTTAGAAAATAGTTTTGTTTCAAATATTCGTGCTCAACAATGGTATAATGATGAAGCACCTCGAAATTTAAGTGGTTTTATTAATGATAAATCAAATCGACTGATTGGATGGGCAATAATGAGACAATTACGTATTAAAATAGACTCGTGTGAAACAAAAATATCATCAGTTTGTAAACGTGATTATAGTTTTTTTAATGAAGAAAAACAATCTTTTGAACCGGGTTGGATAAATCAAACATCAAAAATTTCTAATTCATCAATTCGTCGAGCTTTTATGTATAGAACAGGAGATGAACTTGATACATATATATATGTCGGTGATCATGAAACATATAATTCAGGTGGTTATGTATATGAATATCGAGGTCGTTTAGCAGATCTTCGAAGTAATCTTTCGGAGCTTCATCGATTAAATTGGATTGATAGTCAAACACGAGCTGTAATTATTCAATTAAGTTTATACAATCCGAATGTTGCATTATTTACTTGTGTAACTTTTCTTGTTGAATTTTTATCAACGGGTGGCTTATTTCCACAATCTCGTTTTGAACCATTATCTTTTCAAGGTTTAGATATATTTTCTTATTTTCTTTTATAATTCTTTATTTCTTTTTTTTTTCTTATTATTTAGCTATAACATCAGTTTTTCAATTAGTTTGTACAATAATCTATATTTTCTTTATTATTTATTATATGATCATAGAAATTCAAAATATTTTTCAAATGAAATGGTCGTATTTTTTACGTTTTTGGTCTTATATTGAACTTGGTATCATAGGTTGTTCATGGGGTGTATTCGGTGTTTATATATGGCGATATCGAGAATCGATTCGTATTGGTGATCGTTTCAAAGAAACAAATGGATATACTTATATTAATCTACAATTATCAGTATATGTAAATGATGTTTTAACTTTTCTACTTGGTTTTTGTTGTTTTTTTGGTTCATTAAAAATTCTTCGTCTTTGTCGATTTCATCAACGTTTATCACTTTTTATTGAAACTCTTCAATATGCAATGAAAGATTTAATTCTATTTACATTTATGTTTTTCATTGTATTTATGGCATTTTTAACACTTTTTTATTTATTATTTGTTGGTAAAATTTCGAGCTGTTCAACATTATTAAATACAGCTCAATTACTTTTTGAAATGATGTTAATGCAATTTGATGCACATGAATTAGAATATGCTGATGCATTTCTTGGACCGTTTTGTTTTAGTTTATTTATATTCTTAGCTGTTTTTCTTTGTATGAGTATGTTTATTACAATAATCAGTGATAGTTTTCGTATTGTTCGAGATAATGCAAAAAATAATCTCAATGAAAATTATCAAATTCTATTATATATGTTTCGTAAATTTCAACAATGGCTAGGTAAAACAAAATTACATATATATATAGTTGTTTTATTGAAATGATTTTTATTTTTAAGGATTAAAAAACTTAAATGAAATAGAATTAATCGAAGAACGAGATGAACAAATGCGATCAAAATATCGTGATCCAATTGAAATTTTTCCGAATAAAATCGGACAATTATTAAATGCCTTTAATCGAGTAAGATTAATTTTGAAAAATTATACTGAGATTTATTTATTTATTTATTTATAATTAGCTTCACATAAGTCAACAAACTGAAGAGAATAATCATCTTTGATTAAGTTCTAATACAAATTCTCAAAATTAATGATCTTTATCATCATTATTTTATATGAAAAATGATAACAGAAAAACTGTAAATCTGCTTGAATAAAATAAAAAATATTTAATTTTACATCATATCAATTGCTTTTGAAAGTAAACTATTGATTTGTTCTTGTTGTAAAGTTGCTGAATTTGTTGCTCGTGCAAATATATTTGGTGCTTTACCAATTTGAAATGCTTCAAACCATCGAGATGCACATAAACACCATTTATCACCTTCTTTAAGACCTGGAAAAACAGGTGGATATGGAGTAGATAAATCATTTCCTTGTGAACTTGCATAATCAAGAAATTCTTGTGTCATTTGTGCACATACAGTATGTAAACCATAATCATCAGGACATGTAGCACAATAACCTAATAATATCTCAACAATCATTTTCTGATTTAATCAGAATTTCTTTTTCTTTTTACCATTACGAAAATAGCCTGTTAATGGTGAATTAGAACACATTTCTAATGATGTTCCAAATAAATTTTGAAATGATTGATTTCCATTTAATACAAAACCACCGTTTATTGTCATCTTATGCTTTGTTTTGTGAAACACGATCTAAAAGAAGTGTTGATTTATAGCAGTAGACATTTAGACTTCCTATCCCTCTTAAATATCTAACAAGGGATCTATTCCAATTGATATACTCATCGTTTGAGTTCACATATAGGTTCACAACGAGATCTCAGTACGACTAGAAAAATTCTAGAAGGATTCGTGTCCATGGACTTCTTGAGCCGAGTTATGACCATTTTACTAAATATTCGATTCAGCTTTAGGTATTTATCGACAAATAAAATAATGGAATAATTTTCACCTGAATTTAGTCCCATAGATAGATCTCATGATTCGGAGAATATATCTTGAAAGTTTCAGCTGAAAAGAATATTCCTTTCTCAAGATATTGACTTTCCTAAAAAATAGTCTTTTTTTCAACTTTTTTGTTGAAAGTTTTAGGATATTCTACTAGTCATTCGTTCTGTTAATATGCGAAATTTCAGATCGAAATACCGTTCTTTGATTTTTCGGTAAATATCTAAAGATGGATTGAAAAATGCAGTAAAACGGTCATAACTCGGCTCCAGAGATTCATAGGCACGAATCTTTTTACGTTTTTTCTAGTTTTACCAACGCCTGCTTGTCAATCCAATATGAGCTCAAACGATAGATACTACTTCGAGTGGTTCCGTCTTTAGTAACGAGTCATCATAGATATGATAAACATTCATAACAAAGTATCTTCTTCATCATAGATCCTGCCCGATACCTTAGTGATGTTCCTCTCTTCCCACGTCATAGACTATGACAGAAGTTATTGATATAAGATCACAGATCATGTATCGATTATGTCTTGTTCTAATATATGAACTAGCTCGTTTCTTGATTATCAACATCAACTAGATCGTGTTTCACATTTTAATCCTGCAGAAATTGCGCTAACAACTTTGTTTTTTAAAAGAATTAAAATCTAGAACTGAATAGATCAACATATAGATTTTTTTTTCTGATTTATGAACAAAAGAAAGATAAATACAAAAACAAGACATAAACATGAATAGTTTTTTTTTTAAATTTTTCTCTCACTTTAGCGAATACAAAAAAAAAAAAAGAAAAATAAGAATTATTTCGGTTTATAAATGCATTTTATTTCCTTCGATACTAAGTTTAACAATAGACATTGGTTTTGAATTTCGTTTTCGATCTTGTTGTCGTCGTTTGATTGCATCTAAACGTGATATTGTTCTCTTTTTACTCTCATCCTAGATGATTCAAAAAATAATAAATATAGAAAATTTTAATGATGAAAAAAAACAAACAAACAAACCCTTTTTTCTGAATATTCAACAGTCGAAACCGGACGTACAACATAATCTTTATTTGATGGCCGTGGAACACGAGCTCGTGGACAATCGTCATCTTTATTTAATTCATCATCATCATCTTGTCGTCTAGATAAATAAAAAATAATTATAATAGATTCGCTCTTCTATATCTACAGTGGCTCCAAAAATTATTCATACAGGTGTAATTTCGATTTTTTTCCCTAATGGTAACTCCTATGAAGAATCCAAATAGTGATTTGGATAGAGAAAATTGTTTCCAACAAAGGTCCCAGAAAGATGAAATTCTCATCTTATTCCCCAAAA